ATGGCCAAGCAGAAAGCTGTCAATCACATTTTATCCATATACAGGAAGGAGAGAGGAGAAAGGGGGTGAGGAAGAAGGGAGGGAGGAAGGGAGGGAGGGAGAACTGGAAATAAGAAAAATCTATACACTCTCAAATCCAACTTTCATTGACTTTCATCCTTTAGCAAAGCTTTACTTTCTCAAGTTTCCATATCCTTCTCAAACAGTGCCACCAAACATGGTCCAAGTATTCAAATACTTGGGCCAATGATGTGGGGTCAATTTTTATTTAACCCACCATATTCCCTTTGTATCCCATAGGACTCTAGCTATGTAATGATGCTGTCATATGACAAAACATTTTCTGGGGAGATGAAATATACAAGTTTACTCATCCCAGATAAGGAACTCATAACAGACCAAAGTACAGATACTACCAAAGTCCAAATTGGTGAGCCAATGAGTGCAATTGGTATTTCTTACAGACATATAGGTAAGCAGAAATGACACAAAGATGATTGTATCACCAAAGCTCATCCCAGCAAGGATGAGAAATCATAAAATTTGAAACCCAGCTTGCATGCAACACAACACATTGGGAAGTATCCTTTTCATGTAACTCAGTTGGTCCTAACCTCTTTCAAGGCAGCTTGTCTGCTTTGTGCTTCTTGTAGCAGAAGACCTGGTGTCAGTCTTTTTCCAGGTTGTTTTGTATGAGAGTGACTTGTAATAACATCTTATTCTGTATTGTTTTTCATTCTTTACATACATTATATATCCTGTCTGAAGTTTCCTTTACCTCCACTCCTTCCAGCACACTTCCCCATTTCCTTTCTGCCCTAAATCCACTACACCTCTACTTCCTTTCAAAGGAATGAGCTGTCCTTCCAGGTATATCAACTTAATATGACATAAAAAGTTACAATAAGACAAGGCTGTGTAGTTGTTTGAATGGACATCAACATGGCTTCTAGAAGAAGCACAGACCAAACATCCATGAGCTGCAGCACTGTCCATAGAAATCAAGATCTATATAGGTGGCAGCACACACCACTGAATTTCCCATGGCCTACAGTTGGTAACATGGATCACAGACATCAACACGGCCCTCAGGCACAAAGTAAATCATGAATACTATCATGGTTCTCACAGGGGTGACCTGTGATACCACATGCGGTCATGTTGATTTCCCATGGCCCATACTGCAACTGAGGACCATGTTTGAGTCCTTGGTCCTGTTGCAGAAGGAGGCCATTTGGCCCATGTTAAGGCTGAAGGCCATGTGGATATCCATCATTTATCCTGCCACCTGAAGACATGTAATCAGAGGGTCAAGCTTCCACTAGGAGCCATCTTGATGTACTTGGCCTGATCTGCTTCATGAGGCCCTGTTGATAACTGAGGTCTATGCTGCTGCTGGTGTTCATGTTGGTGTCCATGGCCTTGCTGCATCAAGGGTAGTGTTGATGTCCATGGCCCATGTTACCACCAAAGTCTACGGGGATGTCCATTGTCTGTGGTACCGTCTGAAGACATGATGATATCCGTGGACTGTGCTGTCACCAGAAACCATGTGGATGTCTATGATCCATGATGCCACTGGATATGAAGGGCATGCTACAGAGGCATCAGTGATTGCAGGCTTACAGTTGAGAATGGGAGACATAGGGAGATTCGGTGTCAACTTCTCTTCCACAACCCAAACTCCAAGTGAAATATTCTAGATAGAAAGCCATAAAAATAATCTTAAAAAGAGTAATGAGAATGCTGAGGTACAGCTCTTCACAGTTGACAGATTTCTGTGGGAGGCAGGGATGGGAGTAGGGAAGGACTCAGTTTTCTATAAGGGAAAGGACACTGGAATTTGAATCATGCTGCACTGAGTATATGAGAAATGCAAATTTAATTTGGTATTCTTTTATTTTTCTTTGGTATTGAAGGGGTTCAAAGTATTGGGGTGGACAAGGTAGGACTATGAAGTGAATCTAATTGGGGTATATTAAGATAAATTTCCAAATAAACAATAAAATGTTATATTTAAAAAGAGTCAGAAATATTCTACACTTCCCCTGTTTGGTATGTCACAAGAACAGCAACCATAACATGTATGCAGATGACCTATGTCAGATCCATATAGGGTCCAAGAATTTTGCTTCTGTTTCTGTGAGCCCTTCTGTATCCTGTTTAGTTACTTCTGTGGTCTGTGTTCTCCTGATGTATTCAATCCCTTTGGTTCTTAGAATCCTTCCTCTCCCTCTTCTTCAGCATTTCATGGGCTTTGCCTAGTGTTTGGGTGCTAGATGATACTTGTCCGATGAAAACAGCTGGCACCTATCTATGAGCATAGCACAATATCATAAGTAATCATTTCATTGACTTTTATGTTTTTGCCAGTCATACTTGATTCTATCACCATTCACGATGATTTTTTTCTAGTTCCATCTATTTTCCTGGAAGTTTCATGATATTATCTAACAGCTGAGCAACACCCATTCTGCAGATGTACCACTTTATTTTAAAAAATCTGTTCTTTGGCTGAGGGCCATCTAAGTTGTTTCCAGGTTCTGGCTATCATGAATAAAGCTGCTATGAACCTAGTTGAGCAAATGTCCTTATGATTGGTTGGAGTGTCCTTTGGGTATGTGCCTAGGATTGGTTTAGCTTGGTATTGAGGTATATCAATTCCCTATTTTCTGAGGAGCAGCCATATTTATTTTTGAAGTAGCTTTACAAATTTTTATTCCAACCAGCCACACATTCCCCTTGCTCCACATCCATGGGTTTTTGATCTTAGCCATTTTTACATTTGTAAGATGGAATCTCAGAGTCCTGTGATTTGCATTCCCCTGATGGCTAAGGGCACTGAACATTTTTGTAAGTGATTCTTGGCTTTTAGAAAATTGTACTGTCAACAATTTCTCTGTTTAGCTCTGTGCCGCATTGTTTAAATTGGGTTACTTGGTTTGATAATATGTAAATTCTTGAGTTCTTTATATATTTTAAATATTAACCCTCTGTCAGGTGTAAGGTAGATAAAGAATTTTCCTATTCTGTATGCTGAAATTTTCTCCTATTGACAATATCCCTTGCCATATAGAAGTTGTTCAGTTTGACGAGGTCCCATTTATTAATTGTTGATCTTATTCCCTGAGCTGTGAATCTACTGTTCAGGAAGTTGTCTCCTGTGTCATTCTGTTCAAAGTTATCCCCCACGTTTTCCACTATTATCTTAATAAGTCGGGTTTTATGCTGATGTCCTAGATCCACATGGACTAGCATTTTTGAGGGTTTTTTTTTAACTTTTTTGGATATTTTCTTTATTTACATCTCAAATGTTATCCCGTTTCCCGGCTTCCCCTCCAGAAACTCTCTAGTCCATTCCCCTGCTTTTATGAGGATGTCCCTGACTCACCCACACTGGCCTCTCCATGAACTCATTCCCCTACACTGGGGCATCAAGCCTTCACAGGATCAAGGAACTCTCCTCCCACTGACGCCCGAAAGGGTTATCCTCTGCTACATATGCTGCTAGAGCCATGGATCCCTCCATGTGTACTTCTTGTTTGATGGTATAGTCCTTTCGATCTCTGGGAGGTCTGGTTGGTTCATATTATTGTTCTTCCTACCGGCTTATAAACTGCTTCAGCTGCTTCAGTCCTTCCTCTGACTCCTCCAATGGGGACCCCATTGGGAACCCCTGCTCACTTCAATGGATGGCTGCAAGCACCTGCCTCTGTATTTGTCAGGCCCTGGCAGAGCCTCTCAGGAGACAGCTATATCAGGCTCCTGTCACCAT